AAGATAATCTGAAATGTCTTCTCTATTGTATCTCATATGACATTAACCTCTTTGAAATGATTTCCTTTTACTTAATTCATGCTGTAGAATCTCAGCACCCCTTAACAGAAATAATCAAATGAACATATGAATTAACATATGGTTGTTTCCTGTACAGTTAAACTGTGAGGTGAACCAAAATCAGAATGTTTTCCTCCTTATCATACACAATGAGAGCAGATTTCAATGTGGTTAGAGGAAGAGCAATTGTGAAAGGCTGTATGGAATGTGGATGCAATACACGGAGAGATCCATCAAAAAGAGAGATACCAGGTAACTTTCGCAATTGCGAAAAGCATGAATCTCTTTGAGACTGTTTGTGGAGAAAGAATTTATAGTTTCCTTTTTCTTTTCATTGCATTCTCAATGTAGGTATTTGAAAATATTCAAAGACAAACAATAAATTATATCCAAAACCTAAATGTGTTTTTGCACAGGTACTCTTTGTTTATAATTGTACTGTGCGTGTGTGTGTGTAAAACTTAAGAAAATATGTATTATATGTAGAATGTGATGGGAAGAATTGCCTATCACAATTGGTATCTCTACAAAAACAAAACATCCAAGAAAAATTTGAAACCCTAAAAATTGATTTTATTGGATCATTCTTACTATTCTTTTAATGTTGAGCATCCACGGCTATTAGAACACATTTTTGATAGTAAATTAAATGTACTTCCATATTTTATAACTATGCAAAATTCATATGTCCATAAATGAGCTTACTATTACTATTTTGTGTTAGAAGAGATTCAGTTTAGGTTGGATAGATCATTATCCATCCCATGTGACTTTGTGTAGCATCTGTACTGAGTATATAATAAGATACAATAGACACAATTGTGACAAAATAATTAGGACACAGTATTAGTAGATGTAGTTAACACAGAGTTTTGCCAGTGATGGTTTAACTTCAGACATGTATTTCCATCAGGTTTCACGTGTAATAAAATAAAGAGAAACAAAATAATTTCTGTTCATTGTATCTTTGAAAGAGATAATGTGAAGGTAGTGTTTGCATTCTATTAAAATAGTGACTAAATATTGTTTTTCAGAATGTGTGATAGGATAGTAAAGGATGATCATTTTAAGGTCTGTAGTGATTAAAAAGAATAAAAACATGATGTCAATATGAAGTGGAATAAGATACCTCTAAACTTTTGGTTCCATCCAACAATCTTAGTAAGTAGGGAGTGATGACTTCATTAGCATAGGGGTTATTGATTTATTTACTTACTTTGGATTATATTTGGTTGAACTGGGTTGGTATTTTTGTTTTTTAAGAGGAGTATGTAATACTTTCACCTTTGATGAAATTTATGGAAGGATAAAAGATAATTTTTTTCACATTTTATGAACTCAGATGTATTGTTTTGACCATTTTTGCAAATAATATATTAGTGTTTTGTTTTTGCTTTATTCTTTCTGATAATGCAAGAAAACTGAAAAAAATTAAAGAAATATGTTATAAAAATATTCATAATTTTGTGTCTGATAATAATTATAGGAAACATAGACCTTTGACTTAGTCCCCAGTTATTAAGACTATGACTTTGTATCCTTAATAATTAGATACATTACTTTTCTCCTTTTTTTGGTAAAAAGATCTTACTACTTATTAAACTAAAATGTAAATGGATTTGATTTTAACATTGCTCAAATATACAAATATGTTTAGTTGACTTAAATAGCAGAACAAAAATTGTTATAGTCCCAGTTAAATATGAAAAAAATACCATCCATACTGAGGACTTTTCATTTAAATTAAAATTACAGTAGAATATAAAAAAGTGCATTTCCTACTTGTTGATGTAACTCTCAGATAGATATGTGATATGCTTTCCATATCTACATGAGCTTTCATCCTTAACGGTTTTGATTTCATGTTAATATTCCAAATTTTTCTATTAGTTATAATCTACCTGTTATTTCTTCAGTTTTTTTTGCTATATATCTTCAAAATTGTATACTAATTAAAGCTAGATGAAGTTAAGGTGTAAAAATTATCCAGATACTTTGAGTTGCATAATCGATATTAATGGCTAATAATGAAATTAATGGCTAATAATGAAAGAATTTGGGTAGGAATGGTTTTGGTGTGAGTAAGAAGGTTAGGGCCGGGAGGCCTGGTTGGAATGAAGGACCTGCCCCGTATTTCATATAAATTTATGCTTCTGAAAAATCATGAACCTTTATGGTTCACCCAAGGACTTCAAAACCAGACACACCTTCAGTGTGTGTTCTAGAATTCTGATTAAGAACTAAGATGTACCACACAATTAGAGAGATACAATGTAGTTCATCGGTCAAAAGCTTTTCTGAATCCCAAACAATGATAAGGAATAAAGCTAAAAACCTATTTGAATTCATTTTTATTCTAAAAAGTTGACATCATAGTGACTATATCTGTAAAAACAATTATTTATCCAAGATCCATTCACTCATATGTAAAAGGTGAAATATGTTTGTTTAGAAAATACCAATTTTGATCCTTTAAAATTTATTGAGTGAATTTTCCTACAGTCTAAAAACAATCCCCAAAGATGGTTACCATCAAAATTTAAACCTAGAGTTAGAAATTAATAAAAAATAGTTTTAATGGTGCCAAATATTGCCTGTTAGAAATGTATAGTAATATTACATTCAGTTAGCTTTATGTTTATTATTTTTCTACATAAAAATGAAGCATATAAAATAATATAGCTCTATTAGTATTGTTAAAAGTTTTACTGAATTTATATTATGCACGAAAGTAATAATATAGCATATATAAAGGTCTTTAATATGGTCACTGTTCATACCATTTTAATATAGTTTAAGAATTATCAATGAATAAATCATATAAACCCAAGTCACTGTTTTGTGAAACAAAACAAGTTGTGAAAGCATAGACTCAGTTACAATTTATTTCATTTTTCTGTTTTTCCAACTTTTTCCAAAATGAGTAAAATTTTGTATATTATAAAATCTTAATATTTTAATTAACAGAAAAATATTTGCTGTGAGCTAAGTTGTAGAAGGAAAAACAAAATAATGGCCCAAAATATATCTCTTTAAAAATAGAATGTCCAGGTAAAACACATCTCAGCTTACATTCACTATTCATGCAATTTATTCATTCTATGTTTTATTCTATACTTTTAGAAATGGTTTTAAGAGTCTATGCAATGAGCTCTTAATATTATAATGAGCACCCATAAAAATTAACTTTAATTCAGTAAGCATGCTTTGATATTCTGATATTTAAATTTTTAACTATTAAAATAGTTATAATACAAATCTCTTATTTCAAACCTCCAGTTTATACTGGAAGTGGAAAGTTTATAAACCATGCTATTAATAGACACGAATATTTAAATGATACAAGAGAATCATGTGTTGAGAGTTAGTAATTAAATAAAGATTAGAAAATATGGGGGCCTAATTCAATATAAAATATATTGATATATGATACTTCATTTTAAGGAAATAACCTGATTAAAAATAATGCTGTTTTAACTTCTGTAAACTAACTCATGGCATTGGATAATTTTCTGTGTTGTTTTCACTTCCTTCTCTAATTACCTGTGACTACAAAGCCATATTTTAAAAGCACATTTGCCAGTTCTACACATAAGAAGCAACTCAGTAGTAGAATGTAGGATCAAAGAGAGAAATCAGCTATGATACTTTTAAAGAATCATAAATGTAAATTTTAAGTAAGGTTTCCACTAGGTTGAGAAATGTGTGAGAACACTGAGCCATAAACTACTCAGGAATTAGTTACTCAGGATGAGTTTGAAGTCTACAGTTGGCAGACAATGGTTGATTAAGCTCAGGATTAACCATTAAAGGAGACATTGCAGAGCATAATTTCATATGTGCAAGAAAACGTATTAATAATCAACAAATTTAAATGCAAATTGGACATGCTATTTTTAGCACCTATTTCTGATATATCTATACCAACAACTATTATTAGACATTAGTTTTTAAATTGCCCAGAACAATCTGAGCTGTTGAAAGGAGCACGAATAGATGCTTCATCACAACTCTTCTGTATGTTTTATCCTGGAAACTCTTACATTTAATACATAATTTTACTTCTGTTTCACAACCTAGTCCACACTTGCAGGAAAGCTCAGCTGCACTTCTTTATCCATAGATAGCTCTTAATTATATCTCCACTCCCTAGTTCCCTCAAAAAGAAGTTTGCAAAGGGATATTGGTCAAGTTGAAGTAACAAATTCTCTTGACTTGAAAGAGTTATGAATCTTAAGAAATAATATAGAAATCTGTACATTTTCTTAACTCTGTTTTTATGTTTTCTTTGTAACACACTCTATGATTCAAATGCAATGCAAACATTTCAGGTTTAGGGGGGAAAGGTATATAAATACAGCTAGCAACAACAAACAATAAAAATTCCATTAGTTCAATAATTTTATATATATATATATATATTTGTAACTAGATGTGGAAAGTAGATAGAAGGCAAATGAAATAAATCCAAATTGATTACTGCTTTTTTAACTCTGTATTGTGTTTAACCAGAGAGTGAAGCTATGATACCCCCAGAAGTACATTTTATCACTTTCTTAAAATACTAAGAATATAGTTTAAAGACCCTTCCTGGGGACAGGGGAGGGAAGGAGAACCGAGGAACGTTTTCCAATTGTCAAGCTCAAGCTTAGTTAATAGTAGAGCTAATTTTAAAAGCATGTTCCGTGATTAGGGCATTTGTTCTGAAATTTACCTTTTAATTCATTTAGTTGTTTTTTTAAAAAAATGATCAAGTATGCTACATAGTAGTAATAGATTTTATTTGCACTTTCGGATAACATGTAGTAGTTTCCCTAACATGTGGAATGCTGTTTATCATTTGTTCAATGCCACTTTACTAAACTCTTGTTAGAAATACTGTCAAACAACATGAAAGACACTTCTCGAATAAATCTCTTTCTTTTGAATAATGCACTTACCCAGCACAGCTCCTAAGAAAATTCCTGATGAAAGAGACAGGATGGAATTTGACTTTCTGAGATTCCGCAGACAGATTTATCCCCAGGCAAGGTGGAGAAGAGGCAAAGCCTTGCAATGTGATCCTGCCAGCAGAGCGAACTCCAGTCAAGCAGAGCTTGAAGGTCCCAAGGCAGGAGGTGACACTCTCTGCTGGAGACAAGGGTTGTTCTGGGTAGATTGGAAGTGTTGTCAGATTGTAAGTGATCAGCAGCAGAAGGGAAACATCAGGGCTTCCTGTTACATCACTGACCCCGCCTGCAGTTAGTGTTAGGTTACTTTCTTTCTCAAATAGCATACCCCAGGAAAGCAGCAGCACTCCTTTCTTCTTCTGAAACAAGAGCAAGAAGCAGCCTGAACAGACAGAGATCATTTGCTGTATGAATACATTGTTAGCAGCAAAAGCTGGCTGGCTTTCACCTTAACTTAGTTCTGTTGGAACTTGCCAGAGCTGCTTGTGATTTAAAGGAAATCTGAATATAAAACAATCAAATGAGTTGTGTGTGGGTGTGGGGGGAGTGGGCGTTGAATTAGAGTTTACAAAGCATCCAGAAGACAAACAAAACAAACAAAAAAATAGCTAACATTTTTTTCTTCATAAATGAGCATGGAAAAAACATCAGTCAATTTATTCCTGTGATCTGACTCATTAATTTGAAACTGTGATAAGCATTCTTACTCCAATCAATTTTACACAATTGCATCAGGAAACTCTATCTCCTAGCCTTTAAATGTTTTTTTAATCCATGCTCACAATTAAGTATATGTCTATGTATCATAAAGACAGTGCAAGCATGCATAGAGCATATTATTTCCATTGCTAAGCATTTAATATTTATTTAAAAATGACCAGCCCAGAAGAACTTATTTTAAGTTATTACATTTATCTCATATTTTATGAAATTATGTCACTGTAATATGAACAATATTTGTTTTAGAAAAACTTTAAAATGTGGATATTTTATAACATGTTATAAAATAAGGTATGTGATATTATTTTTTATTTTATCTCAAAATATAATTGTATCTTGAATATATTTTATGAATCATTTAATGTGAAAAAGTTCTAAAGTTGAAATACATGTAACAGTTTTTATATGTGGTACAGTGCAACGTACATTGACAATTACAACTCTTGAAACCAGAGCAACACCGAAACTCATTTCATGTGGGCAATAGCTTCTTTCATGTATAAACTAGAAAACATGTAAAATTGTATCTAAAATCCAAAATGCATTCCATAGCATTTAGAGATCGTGAAGATGGTATAGTGGTCATTCAAAGATTACTGAATTCAGATCAGAGACAGAATTCCTGAGGTTGAAAAGCCTATGTTTCTGGTAGACTAACAAAAGGCCACATAAGTTAAAGAACCTCATGTTTCTGAAATAATGTGATATTGGGGAGATGGGAAATTACGAGTTAAATTGTCAAGGTAGAGAAAAAGAATTGTTGAGCTGTGCTTCTTTATAACCTTTTTTTTTAAATTCCATCTATGAAAGAAAAAACAACATTATACATTATTATTTACAATTATTGACAAATGATGACTTCTCAGTCTGGAAGCCATGGTGATATTCCTAGTTGCAAGCATTGTTGGATTCTGATCTGGACTTAGTACTGTTTCAAGAACCTACTAAGGAAGAAATAGACTGGGCCTAGCAAAGGGATATGAAGTTCTTGACCCAGAATTTCTGGTGTGATCTTCTCACACCAGAATTTTGGTGTTCTATCTCAAAATTCACAGCAAAATGAGATATTAGATTTTACCATCAAAAGAGCCAAAGTCCCCATCTTCACACCTACCATGCTGAGTCTAATATTGAACATTTATTCTTAAATTATTGGTTAAACACATAGGACTATGGTTGTAATCTATGAAGACTCTGAGGTCATTTTGATGAATACTATCTCTATGCCTTCCTTAAAAGTAACAGGAAACCTGAATCCTAATAACCGGATCATTGCAGAGTTATCCTTCTGGAGGACTAATCTGAACTTAGGGCAAGTAAAAAGATAGATGAAGGAAACTTCTCCAATACCCCTTAAACATAACCACAAATACTAGAAAAACTGTCACAGACATAAATTAGTTTGCATATCAATTCACTGATTTTGAGCCACAATGTTAACTTTATTTAACCACATAAAATCAGCTGGAGATACAATGTTCTTTGTATTATTGTGTTTAAAATACAAGCTATCATAAATATAATATTTATATCTATTATAATCTTCATACTAGAGCTAATTGCAGTAACTCAATAAGAAGTAATAAAGCATATTTTGAGCTCAACAATGCACAGACTGTATTTCAAGGGAAAACTAAGATGTGTCCTGTTCTTTAGTCAATTATAGCACAGAGCAAGAGGAATCAAGTGGCAAATTCTTTGTAATTAGCAGCTGGAGCCGCCAGCACAGGGTCTGGATGGCCACTGTCAATGGATTTTCTGAGGAAGTGAAGCAGGGAGGACATGTGAAGAGGGGCATTTATAAGTATCTGTCCTTGTTTGTCCACTGAGAATACATCTACCTACTGGCATCATCTACTCCTACCTTTGTAGTATGGTCCTGGGCTCACAAGTTCAGGTTACTATGTGAATTTTTCCTTGAGAAGGATGGCAACTCAAAGACTCTAGTTTTGGGGGTTTTGTTTGTTTCTTTCTTTGTTTTAATGTATTAATTAGTCAAATAAAATAAGGTGATTGACAGTTTTTCTGCTGAATAAGCTCACCATTTATTTAATTAAGAATTTGTGTGGGGAATGCCTTGAAGCAAAATTCTACTACAAAAACCTAACAAAATAAAATTAAAACAACAATGTCTCATATGAAGCATGTTGATAGATCATCCCTGGTAAAGAGTGGAAAAACAAGGAATTAAGGAAAGCACTTTAAAAATACTTTTAAGGGCATTGCATGATGGTTTATCTTTGTAATCTCAGCTATTCTGGGGGTGGAAGTAGACGGCTCACAGTTCCTATCTGGCCCTGGGCAAAAGCATGAGACCCTATCTGAAAAAAAAAGTAAAACCATGAGGCTTGAGAATATATCTCAAATGATAGAGCACTTAAGCACAATGACCTGAGTTTAATTCCCAAGTTCAACCAGAAAAACAAAATTAATGTTTTCAGTTATTATGTACTGAATGAATAAGTCTTCTATATTCGTAATAATCTGAAACTCATTTCTTATATTGGGGTGACTTGTACTTACCAAAATTATGTACATCTTACCTTATTAAAATTCATGAATAATTTGAGAAGAAACACATAATTCTTACAATGTTTACATCAAAAACATTCTAGCAAGGATATAAATTGACCTGGTATATTATAATTTTACCTGGCAATTGATATTTATTTAATTATTTATTTAAAGCACAGCAAAATGAGTTTGCAGTTGGTAAGAAGAATCTGTATACAAATGTCTGGGTCCTGAGAGTGAATACACTGATGTCTATTACACCAACTAAAGGGCTAATCTTCACTATTGTTATGTGCACAATTTTTATTTCGGGGAAACAATATTGTTTTAAAAGATTTACTATAAACGAAAAATATAAAAAGTGCAGATGACTAAACATAAAATAGTTTGTATGTGGTCCACATATAGATAAATGAAACCTATTTTGCAAGTCTATAAATAGAATATCTTTTAGTATTTTTAAAATGTGTTTCCTCAGGAAGAGTCAAATTGCATTGAAAAACACTTGTTAAATATTTACCTATTTTTAAAGCCTGGCTCTTGGTCAGTTCTTATGGAATTGGGTCTTCCAGAGAACTCAGGATTAACTGTTAGTTGGAAAGTGCTATTACTGCCAAATGAAATGTATAAGTTAACAACAGTGCATTTAAAATGCAGTAACCTTATAAATTCTGTTTAAATGAGGTATAAAATGAAGCAGCATTCTTTGTTAAGATCAACATGTTTCTCAGTTTCTGGGGCAGCCCTGGTTTATTCTGTGGCTACTCGAAGCAATCTGGTTTGGAGGAAAGCTTATGAAAGGTGACCCTTGCCATAGGAAACCATACTGGCAAAGGGTAAACAAAGGCTAACAGCAAGTGAATATGTTATTTGGGAAACCTTAATTTCTTTTCCTAGGAGAGCTTATAATAATCTTTCCTATTTTTAGAAAGGTTTTATTTCACATTGAAAAGATGCTTTTTTCATCTGTCAGGTTAAATTTGTTATTTTGTTCTCAGATGCTTCTTTTTTGCTGAATACCAACATTGTTTGCAAAATAAGTTTTGCTTAGCATTTTGACATAAGTAGTATTTGATTAAATGACCAAGACTTATCTATTAAAATAATCTAATCAAAAGATGACAAATAGCCTTAATGGTTATTTCAATACAGATTGTATTCAACTATTATATTATTCATATAACCGAAAAATTTAGCAGTTTGTATTTTCCTCATTTTCTTAAAAGAAACACATACTTATTATTTACCACCCCTCTGTATATACGATGTGATTTTTCAAATACAAATGAATGTGAAAAATCATGTATCACATATATTAAAGAATAATTCAATGAAGTTGATTCAGGACTCAAGACATTTTCATAAGTGTTGTTTGGTATCTGTAGTCTCATTCTGCCATCTAGTGTTAGCTATTTTCAAACTGCAAAAAAAAAAAAAAAGTAGTTAAATTCCTTCAACAACTGAGGAATATCTCTGGGAAAGAATACTGAAGCACTTAATAGAGTTATAATAGGTATACTTATTATAGATTTCACCATTAAATTATAATTTTTATGTAGTGAAATGAATATATGCTTCATAATAAGTACAAAAAATACTTATGTAAGGTCCGCACCTGGATGGCGAGCAGACTCCACCCTCCTCGCAGCAAAGTCTCCACCCAGTACCTCCATTACCTAGGCAACTGGGACACCTGGAAGAGGTCACATCTGCATCCGCTGAGGTCACATCTGAATTTGATGTGGCCACACCTTTCTCCGCCCATACCCTAAGGCCTAGCCCAGGCCCAGATGCTCTCTCTCTGCTTTTTTCTAGCTCTTTTCTAGCTCTCTCTGCTCTTTTTTAGCTCTTCCCTCTCTCTTTCCTCTCTTTCCCAGCTCTCTCTCTTTCCCAGGCCTTTCCCAGCCATGTGGAGTGCCAACCTTGCCTGGTCCCAGCAGGTCTACCGAAAAACCTACCCCTTACCTGAATACCACGTGCATGGTGCTGTTCTTACTCGGCCACCTCTTTTTAAAAACCTAACAACTTAAATGTTACATGACATAAACTTAAAATAT